AACAGTTGCTCAAAGTCAGCAATATATTCTCAACAGTTGCTCAACGTCAGCAATATATTCGCAACAGTTGCTCAAAGTCAGCAATATATTCTCAACAGTTGCTCAACGTCAGCAATATATTCGCAACAGTTGCTCAACGTCAGCAACATATTCGCAACAGTTGCTCAACCTCGATCTTGCTCAACATATGTGCAACATATACTCAACATCAGCAACGAATACTTAACATATACTCAACAGTTACTCAACCTCGTCAACATATTCTCAACATATACTCAACCTCAGCAACAGATACTCAACATATACTCAGCAGTTACTCAATCTCTGCAACATGGCAACATATACGCAACCCTGACAACATATATGTAACCTTGACAACATATAATCAACCTTACCAACATAATTATACGCAACCTCAGTGTAGCGTGACCAGCTATTCAGCTATTAGCCTAACACTCACCTCCTATATGTTATGTTACCGAGTCATACGTTCGATTACACTCTGGACGTTCGATTTATCTCACTAGACATACAATTCGTGAGGTGAAAAATGATTCCGTAATTGCAACAACCACCACGCGACCAGTGGTTAGGTGATGTCAGGGGGAACGTTAGGAGGTTAACGACCGAAAAAAAGGTACATATGCCCGATTAAACATGTCGAGCGTTGCGACGAACACGTCATGCATGCAGTTAAAATGCCCATGTAATCAAGATTAATTAATGCGTGCTTATAATCACATCATGCCAGAGTGATTATCGATCATGATTTTGACGTACACGTCAATCATCATCGATCATTAGCTGCCCCGGATTTTAGATCAGGACTGATATCAAGACCGCACACACAACTCTGCATGAACGAGTGCACATGCGGCCTCATTGTTAAGCAATAAGCAGCTAGACTGCAAACAAGGACCAACGATAGAACCACATGCTGCCATGCAAAATTATCCCGTTTAGCTTCTCCTGAATGTTTTACAGAATTTTTATAGAAATATTTACAGAAATTTTGCTGCATATTAATGTTTTTTTTTAAATGTTTGTACAATATTAGGCGTGATGTTGCATTTATATCAGAGTGCTACATGCTACCAAGGCTTAGTACAATATCCCTCTGTACAATATTTCCCTTAGGCCTAGATCATATCAGGTGGACATAAGCATCTTATAACCTACTGATAATATCAGGAGTGTATATAATATATCTATACTATATCAAGAACGTATTAAGCATGCTTACTTAATTAATACGTACGCTCTTGAATATATATATATATCACTCACTCCAGATAATATTGGGCATATTGCTATTTTTGTTCGAGGAACAATGTCCTATAACCATACAGCAGGCGCGTGAATTCAGATCGAAGGCCAAACAGCTAGAAAACCAGAAAAGACATGTCTACACTAGACAGAAACGTACGTTGTGCGTTAGACAGAGCCTAGACCTAGTTAGCAGTGCGTCTCTACTTTTAAAACGTGCGACAGTAGCAGACCTGAGTGACTACAGAAGTGTTGTCATTAGTGAGTGTGAGGAGAGTCTATAGTGAGGAAGGCTCTCAGTCTCGCTCCTTGCACGCGCAAAGTGCCTTGTGACAAACGAAAGGAGAGGAACAGGGGACGTTTGAATGGGGAGAGATAGAAAGAGACGCAGAGCGAAGGTAGCAGCAGTAGCAGCAGCACCAGTAGCGGCAGCAGTAGCAGCAGCAGCACTACCCCCACCACCACCAGTAGCGGCAGCAGTAGCAGCAGCAGCACCACCGCCACCATCACTAGCAGGCAGTAGCAGCAGCAGCAGCACTACCCCCACCACCACGAGTAGCGGCAGCAGTAGCAGCAGCAGCAGCAGCACTACCCCCACCACCACCAGTAGCGGCAGCAGTAGCAGCAGCACCACCACCACCACCACGAGTAGCGGCAGCAGTAGCAGCAGCACCACCACCACCACCATCACTAGCAGGCAGTAGCAGCAGCAGCTCTACCACCACCACCACCACCAGCAGCAGCAGCACCACCACCAGCAGCAGCAGCAGCAGCAGCAGCAGCAGCAGCAGCAGCAGCCCAGGAGCAGCAGCACAGGAGCAGCAGATCCAGAGATCGAACCTACCACACTTGGGGATGTCGCACGCCTCCGTCCTCACGTTCTCGTTCAGTGTGAAGCAGTAGGGGGCGCTCTCGCGTCCGCCCGGGTTGCGACAGTAGCTGTGGCCGCCGCTCAGCTCCGGGTAGTCGGAGGCGGTGAGTAGATGCTGGTGCGGGTAGTTGGCCTTCCACTTCTGGCAGGGCAGGCCAGAGCGCGTGACACTCGCCGAGCCACGGTACGACTCGCCCGAGCCGTTGTAACAGGTGTGAGCTGCAGAGGGCGCGCGGGAAAACAGACGGCTGTGAGAACAACACCACACACAGAGAGAGAGAGACACACACAGGCACGCATACACACACACACACACACACACACACACACACACACAGAGGCACGCACGCTGACACGCACTCACACACACAGATACGTACACACGCACGCACGCACGCACGCACACACACACACACGCACTCCCACGTACACGCGCGCACACACACACACACACACACGCACGTACGCACACATACACACGCACGCACACTGACATAGGAGACAGTTATATCCTTACCCGCTGCCACCTACTACTACAGTAAAACCCGTGTTAGCGGACACCTCTGCAAAAAGGACACCAGTCCATATTTGCGTTTTCCTTGACAGGCAGGTATAAAGTGAAACCGCCTCCACGTAACGGACACCTGTCTATAAAGGCCACTTTTGGGAGTTTCCCCTTAGTGACCTTTATATAGAGGTACGACTGTATTTATATACTTAGTTGGTTATTTGCTGCCACCGCCTCCCTAGAACCAAGACGACCCGATAGTGAGATAAATGAACATGCTTGCTCGGGTGGCGTGGCGGGCTTGGCTTCTCTCCTCATTTACTTATACTCTATATTATTATGAATGATGGTGAAAACAGCATGAAAATGACAGTACACACAAGCACGTGCACACGAACGCACGCACGCACGCACGCACGCACACACACACACACACACACACACACACACATATATATATATATACTTATATACACGTACGCACTCATGCACTAAAATATTATCAGATGTGAATAATAATATATCTATTATTAAATCATCTATTATCATTCACTCCTGATATCATTGCATCAGCCTCATCCACTCAACAATTCAAACATTGCAATCAGCAGCTACAGTTTTTAAGCATCATAAGGTCGGCATGCGGGGGTCGCGTGGATGCATGCACCGCTTCAGTTAAGCGCACATAGAAGCACAGGTCAGCGCCTAAAGCAACAAGCCGTGCAGCAACTGACGCCCGCACGCACGCACGCACGCACGCACGCACGCACGCACGGACGCACCTACGAGCAGAATGACGACAACCTTGTATCGGCATCATGATCTGCTAGCTGGCACGGATCGACCAATGATGAATTCATGACGAATACAAATCACTATTACTACCGATTCAAAAACCATGCGACGGTGGACTAACAGCAATCAAAGCAACTAATTAGCACACGTTCTAAACGCGCGCGCAAAATAAAACATTCGTAAAACATTCGATTCGCCGCGTGTATGTATGTATGTACATGGCCGACGGGCTACTCACCCATATTAACGGGGTTGGCCTTCGGTATTCCGATGCGGATGCAATTATGTGCCTCAGGAGTACCGATGTCAGGCAACTCGGAGCAACGAGGTAAGATTACCTGAAGTGGGGGAAACAAAGTGCTATCGTCTTAAAATTATTCTGCACCTGCAAACTTCGATCACCGTTCACGAACTCGGTCATTGTCGCATTGTCTGTCGTATATTCTCCCACAGAGGAGTTCTCTTCGTATTTTTGTTCTTCTTTCTCTTCTTTCTCATCTTCTGCTACTGCTACTTCCTCTTTTTCTTCAATTTCTTCTTCTTTTTTTCCAGCGCATGCAAAGTTAGAATTTAGCCTGTCAAGAGGCCGATAATATACATAATAATCCCCTCTGCATCCTACCCCACCTTCCCCCTGCATCCTACCCCACCTTCCCCCTGCATCCTACCCCACCTTCCCCCTGCATCCTACCCCACC